CCCCCCCCCCCCCCCCAGTCAAGGACAGCCTGAAGCTCTGGGGGACAGCAGTTATTGCTGGCCCCTGGGCTGAGCAGGCTCTGCTGCAAGGCCCTCTGAGTCTCAGGGCTGCTTCTCCATATGCTTCCTGTGCCCGCACCCTGGGAAAGGAAGCCTCTCACAATGCCCAGCTTTGATCTGGAAGGTCTCCTGAGACATCTTAATGGGCTCCAATTTGAGGCCTTTCAACAACTCTGTGAAGGAAGGCCACAGTAACGGTTTAATTATGTGGAGGCAAAAGCAGAGGCGTTATTACTGAAATTAAGTGCTAAAGTAATCCTTTTAAGTGCAGTTTAAGAAAAGAGGCTGAAAATCCCTTAGTTGCATTTAACTAGCTGTTTTCCTCATAAAATCTAGTTTGTTTCATTTATAGAAAATAAAAATACCATTGATGACCAATTATTTTTATGTGTGACTTAGATTTTAAATCTTACTCTGGTTTGGGTGGTGGTGATATCTTAAACAAGCTCAGTCACTTGAAACATTAGATGAAATATAACAATTGATCATCATCACAAGCAAGGATAGAATTCATTTTCAGATTCAGGTTATGAAATCAAAGTACTAAGCCAGATGAAAGTGGATCTTTTTAAAATATATAAAAGAAATAATACCTGCCTTATAAGGACAATGTAAGTCTTTTTTACAAAGAGTGGCAATATGTCTGTTATTGTGCAAAAAGAAAGGAATGTGCTCTTCTGGAAGACGGATGCTGGCATAGTCGAACAGCGGGGTGCCTGTGGTGCTCTCTGTCTTGGGAGGAGACTCATGTTGGCCACTCAGAGAGATGTCATGAAGTAATACTCCAAGGACAAGCAATGTTAACATAGCAACTTCCACACCTACAGATCAAACTGAAAACATCTTCATTAAGATCTGTCCTTTAAAAGCTAAAGGGCTAACTTTAGCTACAATGAATTTTGCTACATCACTGAATAATGTTCCTTCATTTGACACATACTAGGGCAAACTGGTTGTGTCTGGTACTGGGTTAGGAGCTAAGTGAATAAACTGAGGAAGATCCCTGATAGCATGGAGCTTGTTATCTAGTGTAAAAGACATAAGCAATCAAACAAACAAACAAGCAACTTAGATGTTAAAAATGGCTATGTTTCAAATAAGCCAGAAGACAGCAAGCTGTATCTGTAATGGGCCAAACAGAAAATTTTTTTTGGTGTTGCAGGCTCATGTTTGTGGCAACTACTCAACAATGATCCGTGGAAAAAAGCCATATGCCATTAGCCTATGCTGAAGGAATGAGGGTGGCTGTGTTCTAATAAAATTTTATTTACAAAAATGACGGGAGGGACTCAATATGATCCAGTTTGCTGATGACTGAAATAAAGTATAAGATAAGCAACATAGCCTCGTGGTGAAGAACATGGACTTTGAAGCTAGACCACCTGGGTTTCAGTTCATCTGGTTTCCTTGCTCTGTGACCTTGAGCAAGTTATTGGGCCTTTCTGTGCCTCAGCATTTCCACTGCAAAATGCAAATCATAATAAATCTTCCTCAACATGTTACTGTATGTTAAATACTGGTAAAATGCTTACAGTATCACCACAATAAATATTACACTTTTATTAAGTAAATGTTTAATGTCATGTGGTTATGGGGAGGGACGAGGCTGTGCTAAGTAACATTTGAGCTGAGATTGGAATGTCAAAAAGTAGGGGAAATATGCCAGGGAGAGTGGAGAAAATGAAGTGCATGATCCTGAGTAAAGTATACAGCTGATGAATAAAAACTAATAATCACAATCAGTGTGTGACAATATACCCTCTGTTAGGTACACTTAAGAGTTACAATATGCAGGCCCTCCCTGGTGGCCCAACAGCTTAAAGCACAGCACCCATGAAGCTTGCTGCAGCTGCTTCACCAAGAGTTCAATCCCCGGCCAGGGAGGTGACCCACATGGCCTGGCAGACCTTTCCTGACCCACCTGCTGCTCCCCTCAGAGTGTACTTCGTCAATCTGCCTGTCCTGCTCCCCACTGTTTCTGGTGAATCCTCTCACCACGACTGCAGCTCTGATCTGTATCCCAGTTCTGTATGCAAAAATAATCAATCTTAAAAAAAAAAAAGGTTACAGCGTGCAGCAATTCAATGTCAAAAACTAAATTTCTAGACTTGTGAAGATTACATTCTAGTGTATAACACCATCTCTGGTAATAACCAAGCCTCCAAAAACTCCAGGAGTGAAATGAGGCAGTCAACCTTAGACACTGCCCTTATGTCTTCCTGTCCCACCTTAGTGTAGTGAAGAAATTATAGTCACAGCCTTACTGCCATTTCTAACTCACCCCAGGAAAGATTAAATCTCTGGGGCCAGATTTCTCCTATATAGTGTAGATCATAGTCATACCATTTTGGGTTCACTTTAGCGATATCTTTGCTCTATTTGAAAAAGAAAAAGGTGCCCTTTCTATTAGATTAGATAGAGCATATAGCTGCTCCCCTATGAAGGTAGGCTGGCACTGGGGCATAGTAGAAAACACAAATTTCAAATCAATTTTTGTTGACTGTAAGTGATAAGGTTAAAGATCTTTAGAAACAGCAGTATGGTCAATCAAGCCTTAATGTCCAAGGCCAAAGGATGGTAACTAACAGTGGGGACAGCAAGAACTCTTTTTCCCCTCAGGTGTGGCAAATAGGACAGATTTTCTTTTAGGTAGCTCTGAAAAGCATATTGTTATCTATTGTAAAGGTGATTTGAATTGATACTTTTAGGTAAGAATTTTATCCAACAGTAAGTTGAAGACAATTTTACAAAATTTAAAAATACGCACTAATAAATAACAAGGATGCTACTTATAATGAAAATATTTACCTCTTTAACCCTCAGAAGCACCCAGAAACTGTTATGAAGACTCAGGTATCTAAAACTTGTCAGAATGTAAACATATTACCTTAAAATGATGCTCAAGTAGATTTTATCACCCAGGTGATATTCTGAATTAAAGGAAATATTCAAAGAGGAAATAATTCAGTGTGATAATCCCTAAGCAAAAGGCCTGTCTCATAGGATTACTGTTTTCTTAATTGAAAAGCCATGCTACAGAAAGTAAAATTACAGCAAGACCCTCAACAAGGGAACTTCACAGCCCGGATTCTAACCACCAGCAAGGAGACTGCCCATATTTATACAAACATCAACTGGTATCCATCACAGGGCATAACAGATAAATTGTTCCTAGGGGCAAGCAACTTGCCTTTTCCCAGTAGTTCCACTCACTGAACCACACCTGAGCCTCACTATTACTTGAACCTTAAGGTCCAATGGTTAGGTCATCCTATCCTTTAACAGAACCTTCCCCCTAAAAAAATCATTGCATTGCCCACATCCTGACCTTTGGTTATCTAAGTCTGTTGTCCGCAATTGAGCGCTAGACCACTAAACTCACAGATCCATGAAGTGCATGGGAAAAAAGAACTCAGATCAAACTTGGCTTTTGCTGAGGGCACGTACCCACTTGCACAAGCTAGAAAGTGGTGACTGCTGGTGCTTGAAAGCACAACCCCCGGGCCTGGCAGAAAGCCTTCCTGCTGTGGAGTCCTTTTGCAAGACCTCCCAGGGATGGATGGGTGCACTCCTTTGGCCAATGGAAACTTCAACGGCTGAGCCACCTTTTACTTTACCACAAAGTAATTGTCTCCCTCTATTTCGGTATCCCTTGACTGGATTTCCACAGGCCTAAAAAAGAGGGTGTGGGAGAGGAAAGCCGTGAAAAGCCTGATTAATTAGTGAAACCAAAATAGAGACCGCGGTGGATCAATGGGGCATGCATGTTCTGTGCAGAATTAGGGAACGTGTAAGGATTGGGAGTGGACCAAAGAAGAATTAAACGCGCCTGAGACTCACAATGACTCCTAAGCAGCTGGCCCCACTTAAGAATGAAGTCTCCTCGTAGGCACAAAGCAGGGGGTCAGAGAGAGCGTGGCCGCCCGCTGTGCCCAGGTGGAAGCCCGCAGGCTGCGTGCTAGAACGTCAGTCCCAGAACCTGGAGAGCTGGGTCGGCGGCGAGCCCCAAGACGCCGCGCACCGGTTCTCCATCCCAGGGGCCCACCCCAGGTTGCTTCCCCGCGCAGACCTCCGCGAGGGCCTCCCATCACCCTGCACTGCACCCACAACAGCCAGGTCCCTTAACGCCTGGGAGGAGCCTGAGGGAGCCGCTCGGCCCCGGCCAGGGAAACGGTCAAGGGGATGAGGCCGACTGCCGGGCATCCGCTGCGCCCCGCGGGCTCCGTGGAGCTAGCGTTGTGAAGGCGCCGAGCGCCAGGCAGCTGAAGGGCCAGGGTCGGCTTCCCAAGCCCGCCTCCCACCTCGCGGAGTCCCAGGGGGAGGCTACTGGCGGGAGGATGGAGCCTCCGTGGATCGCGGGGTTAGTCCCACCTGAAGCCGCGGGAGCCGAGGAGCGGGAGACGGTCACTGCTCCGGAGGAGGGAGTCGTCACAACCGGCTGCCGCCGCTCACCGGAAACCTCGGGCGCAAGAGCCCGGCCAGGGGGCGCCAGGGAGCAGCCCCGACACCTTGGCTGGCCTGCGCCTGGAGGCGGGCCTGAGCCCCGCAAAGGGGCGGCTCCTGCTGGGCACGCTCGGCTGGGCTCGGGCTCCGTGCGCGGCTGGCGCGCAGACGGCGCGGAGATGGCTGGTGACGCCGAGAAGGCTGGTGACGCCGAGAAGGCTGGTGACGCCGTGCGCTTTACCCCGCGCGCTGCGGCTAAGCTCCGGAGCCGGCTACCCAAACTGGGCTAGAAAGCGGAATTTAAAGAAGCCACCCCTCTTAGGGAGAGAGAAAAAGAGCTTTAAGGACATGAGGATCGACGGGCCAAAAACCCGAGGCGCTTCCCTTCATTCTGGTTGCGCTGTGTTGAGCAGATTTCTGTTTTCTGAGTTAGGGCAGAAGCTGCCGCCCAGACTTTCAAATTTGGGGGGTTTGGGGGGGGGGGTTGGGGCGTGGAAAGGAGGGAGGCTGAACTAGTCTGGTGGTAAGGATTCTCACACATTATATATTACGCTGGCCACATTTGGATGTTATCTGAAAACTCACCCAGTTCAGATGCTACACTCCGTGGCATTTAATTTGACCATCTTATTAAATCATTACTTTAATTATAATTTTTATTTTATCATAATTATTTGAATGCTCATCTCCCAGATAGTCTTTTATTACCACCCTTGGCTTTAGTATGCTGGCTGGTAGAATGGATCATTGAGTACTGTTTAAATGAAGGTTATCAAAATAAACTCATGCTCAGACATAATCACCAGTATTAAGTGAAGATTATAAAGAAATCCTATCTTTCAAATGTCTACATACATTTAAGGTTACATTTTTAGATGTTATGAGAATTGTTAATAATCTGCTGTATCAGGAATTTATCTGAATATTTTTTCAAATAGTGTAAAACATGTTATTTGATAGGCGATCGGCATTATCCCATTAGTATTAACTCGTATAGCCTTTATGTAAAAGCTTTTGCTTCTAGGGGAACAACTGCTCTTTATCTTATACTTTGCCAACCCTCAAAACAATAAGAATTTTTTAAAGTGTTTTCTCACCCTACTTGCCACCATCCTATTTTTGCCATTACAGGAAATGTAGCTTTCCTGTTGACTTGAAAAGAATAGTAGTTATTTAAATTTTTAAACAAGCTGATTTTTCCACTGAACGATATGCAGTAAAGATGAATGACATAATACATGAAAAAGACTTATAAAAAGTTTAGTCCCATGGCAAGGTTATGTGAATCAATTAACTTTGTGTGACATGCAAATAATGTGATTTTAAATGGCTACATATAAAACTGTGGTAATTCTGACTCAGAGCAAACAAGACATAATAGAACTTTAAGAACTTGAGATCATGTTAGTTTACTGCAACAGCTATTCTCAATGTAGAATTTCTCCCAAACATGTTAATTTAATTTTAAATTTTCTTGAAAATGATCTTATAATATGCTCAATATCCATGACAAGATGCATTAAATTACGGTATATCAACAGAATGTAGAACTGTGTGGTCTATAAAAAGGATTGAGAAATATCTCTATATACTGCTGCATCTATTACTGAGTAAGTGGACAGAGATGTGTAATATGCTACCATCCAGGAGAGAAAATGTGTACATACACATATCAAGTATGAAAATAAGTATATACATAGTTATCATTTGAAAAATAAAAGTATAACATTTTAAATAATAACCTACAGAAGAAAAAGTAAGGGTATAAAGGGGACAAAAAAGATAATAATGTCTCTCTATATAGCAATACATTATAAAGATATGACTTTAATTACATTAATTACTTTAATGTATTTTACATTATTAAATAAAACTAGTCTTAAAAGATAATGTCAGCATTGAAATAAAATGACATGAAATCCATCTAAATGCATATACAAAAGAAAAATCCCAAGTGACACTGAAACATGATTTTGAAACATAATAATCAACCCACCAGGATGTAACTCTAGGACCAACAGAATGACAAAGCTGTCTCGGTAGTCAAATTGGTTGGGATATATCAAATAAAGAAGTTATCTTTGAAACTAAATTTTTTTAAGTTGAAATTTTTGACATGTGTAGAGATGCCTGATGAGATCATATAAAAATCTTGTAGTTCTGAATCTGAGTTGGAGGTAGCAATACGAATTAACAATATGCTATATCTTTAAAAACATCTCTCTTCTCCATCACCCACTGAAAAGGCCTAGAAATAACCAACTCTATAGTGAGAAACACATCTTGTGCCCAGACTGTGGTCTTTACAAACTAGTTCTCACTAAAAGGAACACAGCCTCTATAGGAGGAGGGATAATCATGGATTCTGAGAGAAAATGAATAAAATGTGTAAGGAAATGTACAAGATGAATGGGGGCTATCTTACAGAAGCAAGCAAGGAAGCAAAGGTTAGAAGGGTCATCTCAGGACTCAGAACCAACTTGGAAAGACTTCTTCAGGACAGGCTTGGATAATTTAAGTCATCCATAAAAGGAACTGTTACAGATTGAAACATAAAATGCATGTAGATATATTCAAAAGGCTCAACTAATCAACCAAATACAAAAGTCAAAAAAAACTGTCTCTCTCTGATGACAAAAGAAACAAACGTGTGAAAACTTGACAAAAAAGAACACACACTTATTCTTTCCTGTATGAATTATGATGTAAGCAAATAACTGGTTACTTTCTGCAGAAACATTCCATATTTAAATGGCAGTCAAACCATGTTTGAAATTTGCTTCAAAATAATCAGTGTGCATCGCAAGTAACATAGAATCAACCATGAACTGTTGGACACTGTTAAAAGGGACTATGCTAACGAGCATATAGGAATTAATGATCTATTCCCTTTTAAATTTGTAATTTTTACATTGTATTACAAGTTTTCTAAATGTGTTTTAAGTTTGTTTTCATACACTGACATTTTGGATAGCTCATTGTCAACAAAATGATGAACTAACAAGAATATGTAGTACTACTTCTCTGTAATATGCTATCAATTATTTAGAAAAGAGGATATATACATATATTGATAATCCAACCCCTTAAAACATAATCCAAAAGTATTGAGGTTTTAAACTGATAAGGTTTTGAGTAAAAATTTATGCTACTTGATCTATATGCTTATGATTTCACAGGCGAACCATATCTAATGATTCAGAACTGGGGCTTTGGTTCCAATCTGCTCAAATCATAATTTCAGCTTTTTCGCTAACTTGCTGTATAACCTTGACAAAGTTACTTAACATTTCCTTCATTTGAAAAATAAAGACAATAGTGGTATCAATGTTGAGGTTGACTGAAGATAGTATGTTCATATTTCTGCACATATATACATAATCCATTTTCCAAAATCCCTGGGCTTTAAGTGTTCTTAATTTTTTTATACAGCGGTACACACACCATTCATTATCTAACACCCTCATTGTAGCCTGGGTTAGCACCCCCTAATCTCACATATTTCTGCAGTAAATGTATGTGTACATTTATGTACTAAATGAGTATGAACTCACTGAGATAAAGACTATAAAGCACTCCATGTCAGTGCAGGTCAGGCTTTACCAGCAAAGCACATTTGACAGCAAACTGAAAAAACACACTGAGTTTCAGATCTTTCCATATATATTTCAGAACAGTCATTAAAGGATTATGATCCTATTATTAGAATTCCTTATACAGTGCCTGGGCCAAAGTAAACAACTATCAACATATTCACAGATTTTTGAACAATGTGTATTTTTAAAAGCTAAGGTAGTACTTTCCAGAGACATACGGGTAAGGCATTGTGCAAAACTGAAAGGAACACCTTTATACACAATGTTGTACCCCTACTGCCTGTAAAAGCAAGAAAAGAGTTGAATACAAAATGACCCATTTACTTGTTGAGTATTTTTATGAGGATACCGAATATTAAATTTAGCTCACTTGGAACTGGGCAGTGTAGGTAACAATTCTGGAACAGCATCCAGTATTAGATTTCTGCATTCACAATTGTGGTAAAATGGGTATATATAAAGGTGATAGCTTAAAATTACTTTAAAGGATCAAACTGTGAAGTTCAATAATACAGCAATATGAATTCAGGTTTAGAGGATAATTTATTTTATGTTATTACTTGAATACAGGAATGTGGTAAGACTTTTAGAAAAATATCTTTAAACTATTTAAGATTCTTAAAAGACACATCGTCCTTCCAGTCATTACAATAAGTAAATTCTTAGAGTTGTTTTCCAAAAATTTTTCTTGGAAAAACTTTTGCCTATAACTAATACTACTTCTTTAATTTCATAATCCAGAAAATCTGGGTTTATCCTCATTTTTTTTAAATGTGAATTTCAGAGTATAAAAGACAATATTTTATAATCTTCAAAAGATTATCTGCATTGTTACTGATGACTCTAAATTATGTTAAAATGAAATGGTCTTACTTCTTTAAAATCTTAAGTCAGGTCTATCCTTATAATTTATATTATCTTTCACTGAGAATTAAAATATTAGTCTATTGTTTAAATCATACTTTTAGCCCTTTACAAAATACAAAATTTAAGTTGTATAGTTTAAATAGGGGAAGCTATATTACTTTTTAAAATGATACATTTTGATATACTGGAACATAATGTATGGATACTAAGCAAATAGTTGTTAAAGGATAAAATATCACTTTTTTTTCTTGTGGCTATTTTCTAAATAGTCTGCCACATTGTGGATTTTCTCAAAAACTAATTTAGCATATTTACTTAACAAGAAATAAACTTTATAAATGTACTGAGAGTTGTAAGTCCAAAATAATCAAATTAAGATCATGTGAAAATCAATTATTAATCTGTGAATAAAGGATAACATATGGTGCAACACAAAGACTTGAATAGATGCTTACCATTTTTAAATTAAATAAATTGAAAACACTAACATTTAAACTTGGAACTGATTTTATTTAATGCTAATAAGGATTAAGAAAAGAGAATGTCTAATGCTATAAAACAAAGTATAGGAGTTTTATTCAATCTTTTTCCACAACTGAAGGAAGGGGTTCTTTTCCTCATTGATGAATATCTAAAAGAACAATTTTATTATTTCTAAATTTCTATTTTCAAACGACTGATAGAATTTTGCAACATTTTCTAATTCTATACATTTCTTATTGCTATTAGTCTTATCATTCCCTGTTGGCCCCTGAATATTAAAAAGATAAAAAAAAGCCTTTAGTCTGCATTTTGCCACTATAATATAGAAAATTAATTATATTCATTTGACTCATTTGGAAGAATATTTATTAAAGCTACAAATCAGAGATCCAATGACAGAAACACTATCTGAAAAAACCCAAACAAAAATAACCGAACCAAAAATGAGGTCACTTGAATAGCCCTGAAAAGCATTCCAAATTCTTCAACATGGCTTACATGAGGCTATGCTCTTAAATCCTAACATTTAAAATGAAAAAAAAAAAAAAAAATCAGACTTTTTATTTGCAAGTAAAGGCAGCTTAATGGCATTCAGAATTAAATATATCAAAATAGTTCTCATGTCCAAACAGTCTGTCTAAATAACTTTTGAACAAAATAATATTTGGAAAAAGAAATAGCCATTTTTAAAACTATTTCATATTATTGTTATGTGTCATGGTGCAAGGAAAAATTGACACGTTATATAGAATCACCAAAAAAGACAAACTTAATTTAACCCCTAAAATTTCTTCCTTGTTATGAATATGCTATAATATCAAACATTCATTTTTAATGTGCCCAAAATAAGACTTTACAAAATGTCAACAATTAAAGACAAAGCTATGTTAATAACTTTATTACTTTAATTGATCTTATAGAAGAGTAAAAGTCAGTTAAATGTTACTGACAGCATCACAAAATCATTTTAAATAGATTTTTTCCATTACCCAAGTCTCCCTAATAACTTCTAATAGCTACAGCTTTCTCAAGATAGATAACAAATTGGGCTCCACTGTGGAACCTGGGTGAAACAAATTTTTAGACCACAAAAATTAAAGTTCAAATTATTCATCCTTTAAATTTTAGATACTATCAGTGTAACTTCTACTTAAAAAAAATAGTTTAAAATTTATCACAGGTTTAATAATTTTTTAGTTGGACATTTAACATTAATTTAAATGACTATTAACTAGATATTATGAAGACTTAAGTGAAAGATTTCAAAGTTTTAATATGTTAATATCACTTGTTAAATGTTTTCAATATATACAAACACATATAAATTATAGATACAATTAGTTATATATCTACAATACATATATGAACACCATTCTCCATCCCTAACTATACTGATAACAGGATAAAGTAATAAATCTCTGTGCTATTGAAGACAAAAACCAAAAACAAATACTTCAAAAAATAAATCTTTAAAGAATAGTTTCTAAAAATAAAATTGAAATATTGCACAAAATAATTTAACTGCAAATATTACTATATACTATAAAATTTTTTTTCTTCAATTGTTGTATTCTACAGTAAATTCTATTTTCTAATTCTATAAAAGAATTTATTGGAAGTCTACATGTAGATAGTAAATGTTTACATTCAGGTTGATGGAATGTAATTTCCAGAAGCTTAACTGAGCCTTTGTCTTAAAAGTTCATCTATTTGCGTCTTATACATATTCTTTACATCCTCAAGATCTAATCGAAGTTCTTCTGCCTCTTCTGCTTTTTCTCCATACATCTGCAGAATAGTGTTGTACCTTTGATCCAAATCCTACAAAATATGTTTATGATTTTTTAAATAATAAATTGCAGATATCTTTAATATTATATTGTCATAAATGAGTCACCGGCAAATACATTATAATTTAAAATAAGGTATATAGGCATAAAAAGCCAACTGAACACCACTATTAGAATAAATAGCTAGTAAAGAAATTTCAAAAGAAAAGAAAGAGAGAACATCAGGCAAGATGACTATAAATCTTAACCCTATGACCCCAATAAGTCTACAATTATCCCCATTAATAGCTTAATCTATGTACTCTCCTTTCACTGATTTGATGAAATTTCTGTCTCTGGTTCATTATGATTTACCAGCACATACAAAAAGAAAATATAGTTGCATTTATGTCTTAACAATGATTATATATGCAATCATGAAGATGCATACAACATCAATGAATAAAATATTAGATTGTCAGAAAAATCATGACTTTTTTGTTTTTCAAGCAACAATGCATCATATGGGCTCCCTGGTCGCAGAAGGGGTTAAGATGCAGCACTATGAGCTAGCTGCAGCCTCTGCAGCATGAGTTCAATCCCCCACAAAGAAGCTGAACCATAAGGTGCAGCAGATGCCTCCTGACTCACCTGCTGCTCTCCTGAGCAGTATATTCCAGTCAATCTGCCTGTTCTGTTCCCTACTCTGTCCCTGGTGAATCCTCTCACCCCCAGTTTCTCTGGCCTATACCCCAGCTCTTGTATGCATAAATAAATAAATCTTTTTAAAAAAATGTATCATAGACCCTCCCTGGTGGCACTGCGGGTTAAAGCACAGCACTAAGAACCTAAAGCCACATCACCAAGAGTTCAATCCCCGCCCTGGAGGTGATCCACATGGAGCAGCAGACCTCTCCTGACCCTCCCGCTGCCCCCCTCAGCTGTGTACCTCTTCAGTCAGCCTGTTCTGCTCCCCACTCTGTCTCTAATGAATCTTCTCACTGCCCCTGCACCTTTGGCTTGTACCTCCATTCTGTACGCATAAATAAGTAAATCTTTTTAAAAAAAAAAAAGCATCATGACTTTTCTGACAACCCAGTATTACTAAGATCATGCAAACTGCAATGCTATAAATGAGTCCTCCAAAATTTATTTTTCTGTATTAAGAATAAACATGAATGTTGAAAAATACTCTGAATGTATAATATGACAAACAAGATAAAAGATTAATCTTTAAAGTTTGATATTCAAATATTAATTCTTTAATTTTCAAAGAAATCCATAAGATATACTTAGGCATTTTACAGAAATTTAATGTTACAGGATTAAAATATGTTATACTCATCCTTAACTGAAGAGTACTTACTCTTAGCTGAGTTCGGAGTTTGGGTATCTCTCTTACTTTCTCTTCAAGTTCATCATTTTGATTTGTTAATTTAACAAGTTCTTCAGCCATTATTGAGCGAGTTTTTTCTAGATTGCTAATTTCTAGCTGAGAAACATTACCAAAAAGTAATTTAAATCAAAACATACCTTGTTTAATATAAACATTTAACTTTTGAAGAAATTTTTAAAGAATTATTATTTTGAAGAAATTATTCTTAAAGAAATAGATACACCAACATGTTACCATGAGTTAATTCTTTCTTAAGTAAAAGGAAATAGTTGCCAAAAAAAAAAATCCCAAAACCAAAAGAGGCCTCAACTTTCCCCAGAGATATACTAGTTATAGGGGTTATTATATAGAAGAGATCAAGAACTAAATAAAATGTAGCCATGTGACATATAACAACCTTATTTTTCTCTAAATTAAGGAAATAGCACGTATTTCAGCTATTTTGTACTAGAAAAACCCAGAGAAATAAAAACACACTTTAATGTAGTCCCAACTGTGTAGATCATATTGATAAGATCTATCATCATTAGAAATACCTTTGTAATGTAAAGAATTTTGCACTGTAAAATCACTACAAAGAATTTAATCAGGGTACTAAAGCACAGCGTGATGAGCCACACAAAAACACCAGCTATTAAAATTATGTGATGTATTTTCTTCCAATTCAAGAACATCTTTAATAGACTAATATTTTCAATCAACTAAAATCTTATAATGGGAACAGAAGAAAAAAATTTTACTTTTGAATGCATCAAGCTTAACACTAAAAACAGGTAAAACACTTTAACATTTCTTCCATGCATAAAGTGTTTGAAAAGGGAGATGAGAAGGGAGGAGGCTTCTTCCTTATTCATGATGTTTCCTTTCACGTGGGAAATGTTCTAGTTCTAACTGCTCTGATCATCTTAATTCATCCTCTCAAGGGAAGAAGGAGCAACTTAAGTGTTAATTTTAAGAGAAGTAAAATGAGCATGCTCAGCTCAGCAACTTTCCTTTTTTTTCTATCTGGAAGAGCCTTCCGGCAAGGAGCTCTCTGCTGCTGAATGTTCACTCTTTTTACCTGCACAAGCTACACTCACTGGGAAGCCAACCCCAGCCCAGCATTTTCAGTGAGAGAGTAGGTAAATCTCCCTAATATTGGCAGTTAACAGATTCATGATTCTCATGCTTGACTAATTCCCCCAACTAGCCTTGATTTTTACTATATGTGATACATTTTTGGGCTCTATTTCATTTTACTTTTCCATTTGCTCAGAATTCAGAAGAAAATGAGAAATTCTATTTACTGGGCATGAAAATTGCATTTATTACCATAGAACATTTAATTTTTCAATACCTGTAAATGAGTAATTTCGCCTTCCTTTAGCTTTAGCTGAGACTGCAGATTTTCAATAATGCTTGATCCTGCTCCCATCCTTACAGCCTCATACAGATTGCTGCCATTTGCTGATAGAGACATTGATCCAAATGAGTGATCATGAGGTTCATCCTATGTGAATTAAACAAAGCGCATACAGTTATTATAGGTTGTGTTTTCTCCTTTACAATATCTGTGACTTTCTCAGAGACAGAAAACTCTTCTCTATTTTCCTATTGCAATTCATTAACAAATTCTTTAACAAATATTTAATAAACTGGCTATAAAATGGAAGGACACAGTGACAGTCAATCTGCTATCTGCATATTTCCCTTTAAGAAATAGGAAATGGAAAAAATATTACCTGAGACACAAAAGATGTTTGTAACCCTGCCATGTCAACTCCACTTATTGAACTTGAGCGGGACATTGTGGGAGTGCTAGAAACAGAAAATGGCTTCCGTTCCTTAAGGGGGAAAAAAATTCAGTGCAGATTAAAGAGTCAAATGATAAATAGAAAAAGTAACAAACTTTCTAGACTCATTCTCATTTCTCCATAAATATTAAATATCATCTCCTAAGTCTTATCAAAGGTACAATATTTAGTAATTAAACACATAGATGTTGTCAAATTATCAAAGAATCCATTTTTTATTAAAACAATGTAATTTGGCTTATTTTTAATGGCATTGTAAGGGGGAAAGGATGTCGTGAATAAACCTCACATTGTGTGGCCCTGTAACAGCATGAGAATGTTTTATTTCACTACTATGTGAACTGTTTCGTATTATATGCTATTCCAACAAATAAACTTATTTCTTTAGAGTAAGATTACAGACGAGTTTCTGAAGATCCATTTAAATTGTTTTTTATTCCAAATAAATTCAAAAGGTAATGTAATTTACAAATATCTGGTTTTAATACATTATGCTAACTACCAAGTACAATCCAATTCTTTAAAGTCACATTAGAATATTAATCAGAAAAAAAATTGAACCACACTTACTCTTATGGTGAATATCAGTCAAATGAGGTGCATTAGTTTTATAAAAGACAAGAAAATTCATCTAAAGAGTGATAAGAAGTGCTACAATTCAAATACTAGAAATCACAATCTCTTTGGCTAAGGCAATTACTTTGGATTCACTCTGAGCATGACACTACTGAAATTTACCACTCTATTGATATTTGAAATAAGTGATGGTCTCTATAAAGTAGCGTTAAACTTACAAAACAATTAATGATAAATCACAGTAGTTACTCAGTACTTACACCAAAACCAAAATATAAACCAAACAGAAAGACTCACAAAATTTAATACCTTTTCTTTTATTGCTTCTTGTGTAAAAACTGCCTTCTTCCTTTCTTGTTCAACTTTCATTTTCTCCATTTCTAACTGACTATTCAACAGTATCTAATAGAAAAAAAGGTACATTTAGAAAAATTCTGTAATACTAGTGTATACTATCATAATAAGCCAATCTCAAAGTAAGGTGTATACTTCTACTTGCTTTACTACTAAAGATCATTCCCAAAAGCAGCAACAACACTCATTTTGTCATGTCAGTAGTTCACTGCTATCCGCAACCATTCCCTAAAGTAAGCCCTAAGCGATGAGTAAACACTAAGAGAAATACCTTTTCTTTCCTTGTCTCTTCAAGTGTTCTTGCATATTCATCTCTTAGATTTTCTAATTCAACCTGGTACCTATGAAGCCAGAAGGAATTAAATAAATCAAAAAGGATGACAGTACAGATTATTAAAAATTCTATTAACTTCAGTTATATATTTAGATGTCACTTTTATTATCAGCTTGATCACTGATCTTTCCACAGTATTTTCCAGATGTCTTGAGTTTTACTTACAAACAAACTACAAATGGAAAAACTCTACTTCTGTACATTTTATTTACTGGTACTCTGAGTTAAGATTTCATTGTGAAAAATACTTCCTAAAAATAGTTTTGAATACAACCATTCTATAATATATTCTGCAAAGCTTTGTTAGAGAACTCTATGAAAATGTCTGTAAAAATTCAGATATTTTACTTTATAAATAATTTTTACTTGACTAATTTTTTAAAAGTAAAATTTCCAAGAAAGAACTCAAACACACAAATCATAACCTTAATATTTATTATAATTTCAGATAGAGGAATTTTACAGCTTTTGTTTTCCAAAGAACCCAGACATTTATTTAGAAAAATTAGAACACTGCTAAAACCCTTGTCATACAAAAATAACTTCAATGTATGGTCTTCAAACTACTTTATGATTACACAATTCTGTGTAAAAATCATGCCACACAATTTCAAGAGCCTATGGGGGGTTCAATGAATGCCAGGTATAATTTTATTATAGTTTCTATTGCTAATGACGCTGACTTGTAATTACTAAAAGTAATTACTTTTAGTTTTCAGTGCTATAATGCTAATAGCCAACATATTTTTTTAAATTAATCTAATAGTCTATTATTACATCAGTTTGTGCCTTTTTCCATCTCAGTTGCAATCCCCTTGGAACAGCCAACATATTTCTTTAAGTGCTTTAAAATGTCATGAAATTGTCAAGTACAATACTCAAGAAACATACTCACCTATTATTTTCATCCTCTAGTTTTCTTAGCCTATTTTTCTCTGCTTCTAGTTGGGCCTGAAATCTACTGTTATCCTGTCTTAAAAGAGAATTCTGTGACTCCATGGAAGACATTTGAATTTTGTTGGCAAGCAGCTCTTCTGTAGCTGCACGTTCTCTCTCAACTGCTGCTGCCAACAAAGTCTGGGATTCACCTGTTTGTGGTATTAAAAGAGGAAAATTACAAGATATCAAATGTATTCTGACAGAAAGCATTTTTTAAGATCAAATTTTCTTGATTTTCCATTTGTTCACAAAACTACATAATTTACAACTCAACCCTGGATCTAAAGTTATTTTTGTTATGTTTTCCCAACTGTGTTTTCTTTGGTTATTTGTATTCCATAAATGAGTAAAACCATTTGGCAAGTGTATTTTGCTTTCTGATTTGTTTCCTAAGCATAATCATCTCAAAATTCATGTATACTGTCCAAAAAAAGGCACTATCTCATGTTTATAATACAGAGCAGTAGTCCACTGACTATATATATCATAATTTCTTTATTCTTTTCTCCATCGATGGGCTTTCAGGTCGATTCCAAACCTTGCTATTATAAGTAATGCTGCTATGAATATAGAGGTATATAAATTATTTTGTATGAGAGTTTTCATAGTCTTTGGACAAAAGCAGAAACACTTAAAACTGATTAACTATTTACTGCCTAATGCAGGACTGCCTACAGAGGTGAAGAATCAATCTTAATTTATACCTGCTTTATTAATTCTACCCTAAAATCTTTTAATTTTAAGTGAAGGCATGTATTAAGAGTAGTAGGTCAATAAATGGTGCTGGAGCACTTGGACCTCCACAAGCAAAACAGAAATCAGGGCCTCCCTGGTGGCACAAGGGGTTAAAGTGCAGCACTATGAAGCCATCTGAAGCCACTGTAGCATGAGTTCAGTCCCCCACCAGGGAGCTAATTCACATGTCCCAGCAGAGCTCTCCTATTTTGCCTGCTGCTCCCCTCAGCAGTATATTTCAGTCAGTCTGCCTGTTCTGCTCCCCACTCTGTCTCTGGTGAATTCTCTCACCCCCTTGCATCTTTAGCCAGTACCCCAGCTCTTGTGTATGCAAGTAAATAAATTATTTACTTACTTATAATTTACTTACTTATAATTTATTTACTTATGCAAGTAAATAATCCTTAAAAAAAAAGAAACCAAGCATAAACCTCTAATTAAACTTCACATCATATATAAAAATTAATTCAGAGTAGATCATAAATTTAAGAGCAAAAGAAAACTGTAAAGCATTTAGGAAAAAACATGGGGGAAATATTCAGGATCTAGATTAGCAGAATACTTAGCACTGACACTAAAAGCATACGTTGTAAAAAAAAAATCAATAAACTGAATCTACTCAAAACTTTAAAGTTTTGCTCTATTTGTTCAGATAAAAACACGAACTACAGACTTGTGGAAATAAATGCAAACCACATACCTAAGATCAGTGTCTAGAATATGAAAAAGCTTTCTAAATTCAACAGTGAAAATAAAACAAAAGACATAGACATTTCACCAAAGTAGATGCACAAAAAGAATGTAAGTACATGAAATGAGTTTTATGCAATATTATTAGTCATAATGAAATGTCACTACACACTTGTCTGAATAACTAAAAGAAAAAAAGACATCATCAAATGCTGGAAATATATGGAAAAATTAGGTTGTTTTCATATATATAGCCACTTTGGAAAAGCAGTTTACATTTTAAGAAACTGAACATGTAACTACCCAATTGCAAATTGCAAAGTTGGGCATTTAACGTAACAAAAATTTATGTTCATACTAAGACCTGTATGTGAATGTTCCTAGTAACTTGATCTGTATAGCAAAATCTAGAATTAGTCTAGACACATTTCATCAGGTGGGTGGTGGCACCCTATGGAACATACATACCATGAATAATCAGTGAGAAATGACAAAACTAAATCACTGATACATGTAGTAACTTCAAGGGTTAAATGCTAATAACAGCAAACATGTCAATCTCAAAGCTTCACATATTATACAATTCTACTTATGTGATATTTTGAAATGCCAAAACATTAGAAACAAGACCTATTAGTTGTTATCCAAAACTTGGAACAGAGAGGGAGGGCCAAAAGATGGTAAGTGTGGTTTTAAAAGCGCACAATGAGGAATCTTTGTGGTGCTGCAACTGTTTATTTAATATCTTGACTGTTGTGATGGATATAAGCACTCTGACAAAAGATAAAGTTGCACAAAACATAATACTTACACAAAGGAGTAGCAGTAAAGCTGGGGAAATCTGAATGCACTCAACAGATTGAATCACTGTGAATACTCTGGTTATGATATTAACTATAATTTTTGCAAAATATTCATTTGGGACACTGGCAAAGTGTGCTAGAGATCTTCATCATTTCTTATAACTGCATGTGAATCTACTATTATCTCAAAACGGAATTTTTTTTTTAAGATTTATTTATTTATGCTTATAGAACTGGGGTACAGGCCAGAGATGTGGTGGGTGAGAGGATTCACCAGAGACAGAGAGAAGAGCACAGCAGGCAGATTAACACTGAGGGTAGCAATGGGCGGATCAGAAGAGGTCTGATACACCATGTGAGTCAGCTCCCTGGTGGGGGATCAAACTCCTACTGTTGTGGCTTTGGAGAGTTTCATAATGCAGTGCTTTTACCCATTGCGCCACCAGGGAGAGCCATCAATACAAAATTTTAATTAATAAAAGATTGTGGATCAGATTCTGAGGTTAAAGCAAGGTAAGAAATCTCGTATTTGTCTAGCCACTAAAGAAGACCTCATAATATCTCTATTTCACATTTTCTTTTCTTTTCAATACTATATGCTCCTATTAGTACCATCATATAGTATGTCCTGTAGCTTTGCCTATATTCTAGCATAGTACATATTCTGGAGGATATGTAGACACCAATTCAAAAAAACTTATCACTATCCCATGATGTCTCTCAAATTCTATTTAGCTTTAGGCATAGTAAGGGACATGAATTTTGCTGGCTTCTGAGATACCAATATATACATAGACTACCTGTCTGTGCTTGAGAAAACATCTTAGAAAAACAATTTCTTTATTAACAGCATAGGACAACCTAAGATATTTCTGTAATGAGGAAAGAATATGAATTCGTATGACTCCATGGCCTATGTCTACTAGTTTCTGATCTTGATCTTCCTGAGACTTATCCTTACTCTTAGAGTTCTGCCTCTGACTAGAACAATATCTGACTCTATCATCTACACCATCACAAGCAAGAAAGAGGTCAGATTTAGCAATGGATGAGAAAAAATTGAGTATGTAAGTCTGTTAATATGAATGAAAGACATGGAAGTATTTCAGACCATGTCTGATACATTGTTGTAAGGGAAAAGAAACAGTTTTATAGTGTGAATTCAATACCACAAAATAAATGTAAAAGAGGAGAGAAGAGTTAAAAATCTACAAGTTGGACACAAAATATAACTAGCAGATCAAGTGAATTTCAATTTCATGTTGTTACCCTAATTCTATAAACAAGACGGAAGAAGTATTCTATAAAGAACTCAAGAACTAAAGTAGTTACCAAGCCGATCAGAAAGATTCTTCTCTAACTTTTCCCATGATGATGTCTGTGAGCCTAGAGTTGCTTGCAAGTTTTCTATTTGTCGAAGCAATGGTCTTGTTGTTGATGAAACATTTTGACTCAGTTCTTGGTTTCGATTCTCTGCTTCCTGGAGTCTCTGAATCAAGAATTTAAGTCACTAATCCTGACAGCAATAAAAACACTAAAAAATTTTGAGATTTCTGGTAAAAAATATTTCTCCAAGATAGGATTTTTAAAAATTATTTTCTAATTACTTAATTCTTAAGTTTTATACAGAATATCTGAACAAGTGTGCTTCTAATTAAAGCATTTCTAAGATTAAGATAGCCTTTGATTACATTAAGATAAAAGAGTCTCATCCAAACCTCCCAGTAGCCACCTATTCATTCAAATATTTCTAAGTATTTATAAAACACAGAGATCAATCTTTCTATTATTTTTCTCTCCCTTTCTCCATACATATTCATTGATTCAAAATTAATAAAGTAGTGGCATAAAAACTGGACACTGATTCTTTATTCCACAGTAATCAAATACTGACAATAACTAATAAGCCAGCTATTGCAAATGAAAAAACAATACTGAATGTATAATAAATCAATAATGATAAAACTTTTCTGTAAAACAAAATTAGGGGTTTTCATATATTTTTAAGTTCTTACTCTGATTTTACTCACATAAGCTACAAAAACACAGCAAATGAAAAGTATGGTAGTAATCCTCTCAATCCCTTAGCCCACTGAATCACCTTTTATTTCTAGGAAAACACATTTTGAAGTATTTAGGAAAACTGAAAGTACCTGCTGGAGTTCACTGATCTCATGGCGTAAATAATCCTCTTTCCTGGCAGCTGTTTGCTCTGCACGCTGCAGTGCCAGTCGAAGGTCACCCACCTGCATGAGGAAAACCAATATACTGATGAGCAGCATATCAAAACATTATCAATTTCACCTAAAACATTTTTGCAGCAACTTTTTATACTATTTATTTCTTTTGAGTCATACAAATCTTTATTGAAAGGGTATGTTACCACATGTTTTTAAAGATACTGAGTCCTTCAATTTTCTTTCAAGTTATTAGCTTTATACATATGATGACACTTTTTGCATATTTTAGTTTATTTGAAGTTATTCTGGTATAATGGAGCAACCTAGAGATATAAAGTCACAAGTCTGGTTTTTTTCTGCTATCTGTAAAGATTTTTTTTTAAATTGAAGTACATTGACTTACAGTGCTATATAAGCTTCAGAAGTATAGGTTCACACCTCTTCATATGTTTGTTACCACGTCATACCCACCACGAAGGCACTCACAGTCCTGCATCAAATGTCCACTAGACCACCTTGTCCCCCTCATCTCCAGTCTTCCCTCCCCCCTGGAAGTCTCCATTGTAAAGTCTCATTGTCAAGACTTCTGGGATTTTTAAAAATTCATTTGATTCTGTCTAATTTTTTATTTCTCTGTATTCTACATGTAAAACCATCCAAGTATATCTTACTTTTGACTTCTTTTGCTTAGCATGGTCCCCTCCTGTTCCATTCTTGCTAACTACGAATTTTGTGTCATGTTGATGTATAATACTCTATATTAATGAACTTTTACATATAATTATCTCATATCCTATTCATCAAGTAATTCCAAACCTCCCAATACATACCTACAGAGGAAAGCACTCTGTTTGGCAAAAACAACAATATATAAATATGCACAAGCACAGCCGCTGCCACACAATATCGGAGGAGAGATGGTGCAGCTAGAAATGTTGGCCACACAGGGCTGAATGTGACAGGAGCTATTATGAGCTGTTTAAAAACTATACTCATACATAGCAACACATTTTGTAAACTGCTGTAAAGATTTTCTAACAAAAATTACAGAAATATGTTTTAAAAAAATCATCAATTTTTTTGTACCCTTTTGTTTCCTGGTCATTCTGGTCCTGAGAATTTCCTCTATGGAAGCAGCCCTGTAAATATACAACATTCCTACACTGCTAGTTAGACTAGGAAAAATAGCAGGAAATATTCTAAATATCTGTCAGTAGTAATCTATTTTTGCAAATGTTGATATAACATGAAAATATCAGTAAAAATTATGATGAATATAAAAACAGGTAAAACTTTAACTGTAAATGAAAAATGAAAAAACTATAAAATAATATGTATATCAACTATAAAAATATACATGGAGATAGTGATAAGAAGGTAAGACAAAATTAACAGCACTTGTAAAAGATGATTTTAGGAATTGTAGCTTTATATATTCCTCTACCACCCATTGCCCCAATCTTTCTTTATTATTGTTCTAGTGTACATTTAATTTAAAATATATTTTGTCTTCCCCAGTAATAGAAAGGTAGAACCACAGAAGGTAAATGGGCCATAGCATTATTTATAATATTGGAAACAATCTAAGTATCAGTAAGAACTGAGTGATTTAACAATGTGTAGTCACACAATAACAAAATATGAAAACTTGAAGAATTTTTTTTAAAGGCCTATGTTTACTATGGAGTAATCATCAGGATATTTTCTTTTCTTTTTTTTTTTTAAAGATTTATTTATTTATTCATTCATTCAGAACTGGGGTACAGGCAGATGTGCCCGGGCGATGAGTGGATTTACCAGAGACAGAGCGGGGAGCAAAACAGGCAGATCTACGAAGCACACTGCTGAGGAGAGCAGTGGGAGGGTCAGGAGAGGTCTGCCTCACCACGTGTGTCACCTCCGGGGCAGTGGGGGTAGAACTCATGCTGAAGTGGCTTTAGGTTCTTAGTGCTGTGCTTTAACCCGCTGCACCACCAGGGAGGGCCCAGGATATTTTCTTAAGTAAAGCAAGCTATAAAATAGTGTAAATATCTATGGGGGTGGAGAGGAAAACGTTCAAAACTGGGATGGAAAGAGCACGGAACTATGATAATGGCACATGGGTGAAATGGTGGTGGGAAGTCCATGGGGATTACAACTAAGATAAAAAAAAAAAATGAACAAAATGAAGAATGATGTAAAAAAAAAATTTAAAAAGTGTAAATAGTAAGCTATTAATATATAGTAAAATATAGTAACCTATATTTACCTAAGACAGATAAGAAATTAAATACAAATAAATACATGTAAAATATGTATGCAAGTATATAACTATACTTACTTTCTTGATTTTACAAATAGAAATACTGAAAAAGTATAAAGTGAAAACTAATAAAATGGTTATCTTTAGGCAAAAAAAAAAAAGGAAATGGGAGTAAGATGGAAGTAAATGTCTCTATCATTTTCATTTTGGAATCATGTAAATTATTTACATATTCATGTAAAGTCAAGTCACTGCAACCAATGAAGAAAGACTAATCTTTTCAACAAATAGTGCTGATAAAACTAGATATTCACAGGGAAATGACTAAAATGTGAAGGAAATAGGAAAAATTCTGTGACCTTCGATTAAGCAATGGTTTCTTAAATAATATGCCCAAAGCACAAACAACTAAAGAAAAACAGGTAAACTGTACTTCATCAAAATCAAAAAAAACCTTTTAAGCATCAAATATACTATCAAGTATGTGAAAGTCTACAGAATAGCAGAAAATAGTGCAAATCCTATGTCTGATAAAAGTCTAGTATCCAAAATATATAAAGAATGCCTATAAATCAACAATAAAAAGATAACCTAATTTAAATAAAATGGAGAAATTATTTGCATAAATTTCTCAAAAGATGATATATATAAATGGCCCAAAAAAAATCACTTGTTGTAAGTGAAACATAAATTTACAGTACAATCAGGTAATAAAAGTGCTGTAAAAAAAAAATCAGCAAAATTAAATGTTGACAAGGGTGCAAAGAAACTCTCTTACATTGTTAATGGGAATGTAAAATAGTGAAGCTGCAAACATGACTCAGAGGCATATATTTAAGAGAATTTAAAAAACATGTTTGCCCAAAAAACTTCTTAATATGCATGTTTATAGCACAGTATTCACAATAACAAAAAAGTAAAAGTTACCCAAACATTCATCAATTGATGATTTAATAAAGCAAAGTATGACAAATTGTAGTTTTTCCTCCTTCATGTGATGTCTACATACAGATACAAAGGTTATGAATGAGCTCAGGAATTATATGGATTCTTGTGAAATTATTTGAAATGTCTATTATTTATCTGTATATGTACATTTCTTTGGTAAAAGTGTTCTTAGCTTTCATAATAGCCTCAAGGCTGTAATTCACAAAAAAATAAGGCTATTATATAATGTAAGCATCACTTTAACGACAGTTTAAAAAAACACATTAAAAAAACATGATTAATCTATTTCCTTGTAAAGGAATTAAAACACATATACTACATTAGGTTTGATTCAACTAGCTATTGGATTCTTTAATTTTCAGAAACACAAAGACTTGAAAGATGCATTTAATTCATCACTCATAGCTTACTTGAATTGCTAATGTTTCTTGCTGCTGACGGGCTTCTTCTTGGGCCTTTTCTAATGCTGCAGAAAGTTCTTCTTTAGCTTTCATTTCACGACTTAGAGCAGCTTCCTGTACTTCACTATCCTTGGCAGCATTGGCTTTGTGGAGATCAGTAAGTTCTCTTAAAAAAATTGGATTGACAATTTTTATTTAAAATAAAATGGTTAATTACATGTTCAATTAATAAAGTTTCCATATGGATTTCCATGCGATCTACAGAATGAGATGTAATAAACCAATGACAAGGACTCTCTCTGTCGACTTGCTTTGAACAGTTACATATATAAGTTTATAAATGTTAGTAAATATCAGAAAAAGTATTTTTTCAACATTCTGCTTAGATAATTTATTTTAAAGTGGTTGCATATTTGTTCACTTTCTTACTTGTATGCACTATCAAGAGCTGCTTGAACACTTCGGTTCTTTTCTTCAAGTTCATCCATGTCTACTTGAAGTCGGCCAAGATCTTTCTCTTGGCGTTCTACCACAGAATTTAGTTTTTTAATGTTTTCTCTATGTTGTTTCTCCACCTCTTCTTTGCCATCAAGAACCTATATTATAAAAACAGACAAAAGTATTTTCCCATAAACTACACTATGACCAGTAATTGTATTGGAAAATTCAATTGTTCTAATGGTGAAGAAAAAGTCTTAACATTCATCTATTAAATTGAAAAATTCTTCCTACATAATTTACCCCATTTAATCATTCCAAATGTTTTAAAATCCACAGCTACCTATTCATATAGGAAGTGACATTATATTTATATAAAGAATTGTTAATATTCACCTGTTTTAAATGCTGCAACTCCTCTTCTAGCTCTTTTACTTTTTTGTGCAGTTTTGCAATAATATTATCATTTTCTTTGTCTTTAGCTCTTAATTTCTTAATGGTGTTAGAATTATGCAGCTGCTGTTTTGAAAGTTTTTCTCCTGACAATAGCAAAAAAAGTACAAATTCAAAAAATAATGATTGTCTAAGATTCTAAATAGAATGTTTCATCTAACCAGTGATATAAAATGACAGACTATTTTAAAAATCATAGTAATTGAACCTCTGATTTGGAGAAGGATGATGAACGAATGCTAAACTTACTAGATGGGGATGGTGAGGAAAAAGATATTTACAGATTCACTCATATATAATGCTTATGCATAACAATGGGTAAAATGTGCTTTTACCATTGAGCCATCTGGCACTCATTGCTTTAACCAAACATTCAGTTTTGGTGTCATCAATTGTGATGCAGCTCGACATTATGTGATTATAAATATGGTATAGTACCAGATGCACAGTATCACCTACAATATTTCTTGCTAGAAATTTGATCTAAGTCTAATCATGAAGTTGTTCCTGGACATGGTGTATCCTGTAGGACAATGGCATATCATCTACAAAGTCTTCAATGTCACATAAAAGAAAGAATTATTTTAGGACTGGTGGGAGACTAACAGGGCAAAATGGCCAAAAGTAATATTAAACAAAAGGAGTTTCAGTTATGCAGAATGAATGTTTTGGAGAGATAAAGCATAATAACTAATGTTAATAATACTGTATTGTACACTGAAATTTTCTGAGTAGGTTTACCTTTTAATCAAATTCTATTGATTAACCATTTACAAAACTATGTAATTTGGGGGGTACATCTTTATATCTCAACATGTGTACTAACCCAAACTACACCACCAAAACTACAGTGCCACTATATTACATTTCCCCTCTCTATCCCTCACCTTTCTGCCTACCTCCCTCCTTCTGGTAACACATTTTTTCAGAGTATGAGTTGTTTTTATTGTGTTTTTTTTTTTCAATTTATTTTCTCTATTTGTATTTCACAAATAAAACAAATCATCTGACAATTTCACTCTAACTTACTCTGCTTGTATAATCACCTCAAGTTCCATCCTTATAGGCGGAATGGGCACTATTCCATCTTTTTAAATAGCTAAGTTCGGTTGAGTTATATACTACAGATTTTTTATTCTTTGTCCATCAGTGGACATTTAGGTTGATTCCACGTCTTGGCTATTAGAAATAATTCTGCTATGAGTGCAGTGGTGCATAAGCATATTGATGTTATCATATTTTTCAGATTTGAAATGGGACTGCTGATCATGTGGTATTTCTATTTCTGGTTTTTTAAAGAATCTGCACATTGTTTTTCATAGAGGCTGTACCATTTTTTAGATATACACTCCCACCAACAATGATTAAAAGTTCTTTTTAAGAAAGTAGCTTTTAACTATTCTCATTACATACAGAGTAAAGTGAACAAATACGTAAATTTCCTTGATTGTGATATAAATGCACAATCAAAATTTTTAAAAATCATATTACATGCCTTAAATATATACATTTTTATGTTTATATTTATACCTCAATTATACCTCAGTAAAGGGGGGAGAGAAGAATTTAGGTGTAGAATGTTTTATCTGTCACTTATTACCAAATGGTTTGACAAAGGGGGAGGGGAAGAGAGAGAGAGGAAGAGATGTGAAAAGATGTTTAACAGTTGATGAATCTAAGTAATGAAGTAATTAGTTATCCATTGTTGTGTGCTTTCTACATTGAGTCTTTTAGATTTTCAACTGTGAGCTTACAAACACTCCTGGAAAGTGATTTTAAGAAATATACGTAAATATTCCCATATGAAATTATATTCTCTTCTCAACAAAGTTCATTAATCAAAAGTATATGTCCCCACCCCTTGACTAAATTATTGAATTCCAAAATATTGACACTGAATATTAGTATCTAATTTTTTTCCAAAATTATGAAAAAAGCATATACTTAGTCTTCTCCCAATCTTTAATGTTACAACACAAGATATTTATTGAATTCAAGATGTCTTGAGATGAATACTTATGTGTCCTCTTTTTTAACCCTACAAAGATTACATAAGTTTCAGGTGTGAATCTTAAAAAATCAACATCTGTACACACTATATTAAGTTCCCCATCTTCACTATGTCCAGTCATCAACAACTGATCCTTGTCACCTAACTTCTCCAGTCCCTCTCTTTTCCCTTCCCCTCTGTCAGCCACCAGTTAGAACGGCCATATAAGTTTTGTCAACTCTTTCATCTCAGTGTTTAGGATCTATTTTAATTATCTGTATATTTATAGTTACCTCTCATTCAACTGTACGCTCTTAAAGGACAGGAATTGTGTCATACTTATTATTTATCAAATAAAACATCTGACTATATAATAACTTAAATATGAGCTGAATAAATGAACGAGATAGGTAAAACTAGCCACTTCACTGAAGTAGATTAATTCCAATTGTTTTTAAACAATTTAACTCTGGAAATTCACAAAAGTTCAATGATTTAAGCACAGAAATGATCATTTGCCACTGTTTTAATATTAACATTTTAGAAATAAAGGTATCAAGAAATCAGTAAAATGATGGCATATTCACACACTGGACATATATAGTGACAAATAATTTTTTGGTGGAAAGACCTTTAATGGCATAAAGGAATATTTAAAGAAGGAATTAAAACATATCCTTTTAATTGTCTAAAAACTATTTAAATGCATTAAGGAGGGACTAGAAATCAACAGCACCTTGTAAAACTGAATACCTATTTTTTCTCTTCAAACATTTCCTACAGTTCCCAAAATTTCTGCAAGTATCAAATGTTATTCAGGTAACTAGAAAAACATTAAGAAAATTTACTTAACCACTTTTCCAAAACCTCCTTTCCTAGGATATTAAATATAGAAATTAATTCAATGTCCATTTGCAGTGATTTTGTTCATGAAGAATATTTAATTTTAGTTCTGGTTAATTATAAATCTTTTCATAAACAAAATGGTTAATAACTGAAAAAGCAAATAAAAAATTCAATATCAAATGTTGGAAAAATACATGATACCTTAATAGTAGTAGAGGAGCTAGAGAACCAGATATTATATAAACTCCAAAATTATGATTTTCAAACTGTTCGGAAATATTCATATATTTCTGCTTTTATATATTTACTCCTATTCTTCCATAAATTATTTCTTACCTTTCTAAGGATTAAGTCCAATATTTTTATTAGGAAGAAAGTCATGTCTCAAGTATTTTTCCGGTTCTTATAATAATTTTCATTATTACTGGTGGTCTAGGAGTTGAGTCTCAGCACTGTCTCTACCATGGCCCGAGTTTGATTCCTCATGAAGGAGCGGACCCACATATGGCAGAGCAGATCTTCCCTGTCTCACCTGCTGTTCCTCTGAGCCTGTTCTCTGCTCCATACTCCCCACTCTGTCTCTGGTGAATCCTTGAATCCTCCTTCCCTGCATATCTGGCCTATACCCCAGTTCTTCCATGAATAAATAAATCTTCTAAAAAATAGTAATTTCAGGCCCTCCCTGGTGGCGCAGTGGGTTAAAGCACAGCACAAAGAAGCTTAAGTCACTTCCGCATGAGTTCGATCCCCGCCTGCCCTGGAGGAGATCGACATGGCGAGGCAGACCTCTCCTGCCCCGCCCGCTGCTCCCCTCAGTAGTATACTTCGTTAATCTGCCTGTACTGCTCTCCATTCTGTCTCTGGTGAATCCTCTCACCCTTCGCATCTCTGGCCTGTACCCCAGTTCTGTACCATTAAATAAATAAATCTTAAAAAAAATAGTAATTTCATAATCAGCTAACTACATACCTTCTTCCATTAATCCTTGGATCTGCTCATCCTTCTCTTTCAAAAGGTCAGCAGTTTCACTACTGTTTAGTCTAGTAGCAAGTTCTTCTTTTATATTTTTGATTTCCTAATTAAAAGAAATTGTGAATACAATAAAAAAATTTTCATTCTAGTCATGTTTTAAAATGTTCTCCATATTCAAAGAAATCATCTATAATTGTATCCTTGATGAGAATTTCCAAGTCTGTTTAGTTAAATTGAGTTCATTACCTTGGTTAATTAATAAGTAAGTAGCTTTGAAAATAATATACAAAATATTATCAGATATAAGGCCCTCCCTGGTGGCGCAGCAGGTTAAAGCACTGCACTGAGAATCTAAAGCAGCTTCCGCATGAGTTCGATTCCCGCCTGCCCCGGAGGTGCCCACATGGCGTGGCAGACCTCTCCTGACCCGCCCGCTGCTCCTTTCAGCAGTGTACTTCGTACATCTGCCTGCTCTGCTCCCCACTCTGTCTCTGGTGAAGCCTCTCACCGCCCCTGAGCCTCTGGCCTGTACCCCAGTTCTGTATGCACAAATAAATAAATCTTAAAAAAAAAAACATCAGATATAAACAGGTCTTAATATGAAAATATAAATGTGAATACGTTAACTTTCAATAACCTTCTTCAATATTTCTACATAATTTCTACAGGTTAATTATACATTATATTTGGAACATTTAAACTGTACTGCTCTCCAGTTTTCATTGAAAATCTATGCTTACCAATGTGTAATGAAAAGAGATCTACTTTAATAACACAGAAACACAATAGGAATCTGCCTTTTAAAACAACCAAGGAGAGTACAATGATATGTAACAATGCTCAAAATGAAACAGTATCTACAAAGAAATAATGTTTATTAAGTATTTAAACTGAGCATATGATTTAATGGAAGGTATTCATTATCACATAATCCTTACAATAATCCTATGAGGTAGATACTTGTATTCTTCAACTATGCTAATAAGAAAGTAAGAGTCAGAAGGACACAGTACACTTTGAAGGTCAGAGAGCTAATGAGAGAGCTAAAGTTATAACTTGAACCCAAGTCTATGAATCCCAATGTCCATGCTCTGAATCATCCACAAGCTTGCAGAATACCTTGGAATACACACATGTAGACAGACATATGTTTTACAGGCAGATATTTAGATTTTTTTGTAGCATCAAAAATCTAAAATTTTAAAGGCATTGAAAAACCTACAGTATGGTATTCTTCTAATACCAAAGTAATATTAATATATTCCTCAACAATCTCTATAAATTTTAATTACCATTATTTTAAACTTCTATTACCTTTTTAGCAGCATCTCTTTCTTTGCAGGCTAGCTGAACTTTCTTTTCTGCTTCTGCAATTCTTTGAGTAAATTCATCTTTCAAGGAAGAAATGCTGCTGCTTTCTTCTTTCACTCTGAACATTTCACTAAATTTAAAATAATATTGTGACTGAGGATACTTATTTATGTATTCTAAAGAAAATGAAAATGTCGCCAATATTTGATTTGGAAAAATGAAAAAAAAGCAAAAGTATTTTTCAGTTTTGAATCTTTTTATAACATATTTACCAGTCATCTCTTTAAAGCAAACCAATACTCAGTATTTTTTTGACTGTGATATTACACTTTAAATACATGTTAAATCTCTAATATTAAAAAGATGAATGGTAATAAAGGAAAAGAAGTGTATATTATACCACTGTATCTCCATTAATGTGGAGGCTTTTTTTGCATAATAATTCTCTTCAGTCCCAAAAGTAACATGGTAAAGAAATCTGAGGAAAGCAATCTGTTAGAATTGAAATGTTACTCAATTTCCAATAATGACAAGTAAGTTAAATTTAACAAAATATTTTAGTTTCAAAACATTCTTAAATAAAAACAAAGTATATGGACTCTATGAAATGTGTAAAATTATTCACATTTGTAAAATACTTACTCTTTCAGATTATCATAAGCTTCTTCTAGCAGTGCTTTTTCTTTACTAAGAGATAGTAACTGAGCTTCCCTTTTATCTAGCTTCTCATTCAGAAATTCAACAGTCTGGAAAAGGAGAATACACAAATGTCAAATGCATAACGGTTTAAAACCCATTTTTATACGCAGGTGATGAATTGTAAAGGAATCTAACCACTATAATAAATGAAAGAGCATTATCTCATAGTAACAATTTAAAGGAATCTTGGGAACACATTGGCTACAGAATAAGAGTGCATATATAGTTGGCATGAGGGTATAAATTAGTACAATCACAAAGTAGTGGACTATAAGCTTAGTAAACTACTTAGGAAAACAATTAGGGAGTATTTTAGCTGAAGGAATACATATCCTATAATGTAGAAAATTTTACTTGTAAGCATACTTCAGAAAAGAAACCTCCCGCACAAGTGTACTAGGTAATATATGCAACAATGTGTAACAGAAAAGATTTGAACAGTGTGCATGCCCCAAAAAAGAAGAGAGATAAAATCAAAAAGAAAACAGAGGGGCTTCAAAGCCGCTGTATTCTAGAGCTTAGGTGGGTAGCAGATGTACAAGTGTCTCGTTTTCTGTACTACTCCTTAATCCAAACACATGAGGTGTGAATGCTACATTACATTCATTTTTAGAAATAAACGTAATTTTAGAAAATCCATTGGGCATGTAATTTTAAAACTTTTAGAACATATAATATTTAAAAAGTAAATGTTCAGAATATCCACTCATTTGGTTCTGTTAAAACAGTGGTAAAATTTATGTAAAAGGGGGCCCTCCCTGGTGGAGCAGCGGGTTAAAGCACAGCACTAAGAAGCTTAAGCCAGCTCCACATGAGTTCGATTCCCGCCTGCCCCGGGGGTGACCACATGGCGTGGCAGACCCCCTGCCCCGGGGGTGACCACATGGCGTGGCAGACCTCTCCTGACCCGCCCGCTGCTCCTCTCAGCAGTGTACTTCGTAGATCTGCCTGTTCTGCTCCCCACTCTGTCTCTGGTGAGGCCTCTCACCGCCCCTGAGCCTCTGGCCTGTACCCCAGTTCTGTATGCACAAATAAATAAATCTTTAAAAAAAAAAATTATGTAAAAGGAGGAGTGGTAACTTTTGCATTAAAAAAAGGGTTTTACAAAATGGTTGTGGGAAGCCCACGGGGATTACAAATGAGATGGAAAAAGGCACAAAATGATGTAAAAATAACCTATCATATATTATTTTTTAAAAATGTATTGCATAAGTTAGGTCTAGATTAATTTAGAAATCATTTACTTTCTGAAAATAGTTTTAGAATACGTTGTTGATACCATCATTGAATTTTAGGAATTCAAACTGCTATTATAGCTATAGCAAGACAACTTATTAATGATGAATAATTAAAACTAGCAAACAAAACCTGGCATATTCTGTAAACATGAAGTAATTCAATCATTGCACTCATAGGACATTCCTTCAAGACATCCTATATCTTAGAGGGATCTTTAAAGATGCCAGATTCAACTCAATTTACGTATCTAAACTTCATAGGCAAAACTAAAACTGTGACTTAAAGAATTTACAAAACTTTCCTTTTGTTTTAGGCAGAAGCAATTTCTCATTCACAAGCAATACCTTAGACATTTCCCTTTCTTCTCATGTAAGATGGCTACAAGTAGGCAATATCAAAAGTAACAAAAGAGAAAATTGAAGTTAACTCATAAAAAAGGATATGCATCAATAATTACACTAAAAATTTTACTTCCTGCCAATAACATAAACGCGTAAAAAAAAATTATATGTAAGAAATAGCATGTTTTAGCCTCTCTACCTGGCAAAGGAGTTGCATATGTTACTATAGAAGAAAGCCCTTTGCAAACAGACAAATAAGCATGGTATAAGAAAATCTTAAAGTGACAATGACTCAAAATTAAAAACATTAAAAGGCAACATTTTATGTCTGGTTATACTGAAGTATCAACCTATCTACCATAGTTGCTTTGGAGAAATGTGAAGTAATTTACTATAAATAATTCTTCAACTTCAAGTTCCTAATGTCATATTTAAATGGCAAAATGCCTCTTTTTTTTTTTTACAAGTACAAATAAGTATGCATTACTGAATACTAAATAAATAATTTTATCTCTGCAAAACATGTCCAAAAATCCTTTTACTTTCTAGTTACCTTAGAAACGTCTTCCTTCTCAGAAAGTACTGCTGGCTGACTTTCAGCAGCTTCACATTGCTCAACCTCTTTTTCTAACACAGTATGTCCTTCATTTATTGGTGGAGAAGAAACCAAGATATCCGGCTGCTCACAGTTAACAGGAGTGGCACTTCTCCCACTTTCTTCCATTTCTGTTTCCTCAGTGGGTATAATTAATGTTTCATTTACTTCTTCAGATTTTCCTTCAACAGATTCAATGATTTTAGCCTTTGGAGTTGAAGCATTAACTATAATAGGTACTGAAGCATATCCTTTGCCTGGCAATTCATCATCTGAATTGATTTCACTTACACTACGGCTATCTAATGACTGTACACTAAATGAGTCTATTCTTTCAAAAGCATCTGATGAACAGCAACTCTCAGTGAGTTTTTGGAAATCATCTAAACGATTATATTCAGGACAAGCAGAGGCTGAGAGAAGTTGAAAAGATGTCTGCATTAAGTGAAGACTTGATTTTGTATCTGTAGTCTCTTGTCTTGAACTTGCTGAGCTCTCACTTATTACGCTTTCATGATCTAAAACTTCAATATCACTGGTGGTAGAAGTACCTGAAGAGAAGGTACTAACAGGAGGAGAGGGTGTGTTGCTCTGTCTGTCTTCATGTTTTTGTTCCTTAGGTTCCAAAGCCACGTCCTTTGCTTCTACAGTAAGAGACTGTGTAGACATATTAGGTACATGTCCTCTGGTTGTTTTTTCATCAATTACATTTTCAGATACTTTCAAACTTACAGTTGATACCTTCAGATCAGATTCTTTATTTGCAATTTCTTCACTGTTGCTTTCAATCTTTGATGATGGAGTCTCTACTCCCAGAGTTTCTTCAGATGCACATGAAGAGTCTTTGACCTTTGATTCTGTTGTTTCAGTTGTTCTTGACAGTCCAGTGTGTAAGGAGTCCTGTAAAGTGCCTTTTACTTCTTCTTCTGGCCGTTGTGATTTAGCTGGTGGTTTTGATACCACTGGACTCTTCTGAGTGTTTTGGACATCCGTTGGGGAGAGAAAGGCACTGAAGAAATTTTCAGATTCATCTACCACAGTTCTCTGAACTGGCTTTGTAATTGCTTTAGGAGAAGCTACTGGTTGACTCTGGGGTTCACTGTTTGATTTTAATCCCCAGCTTGAAGTATCCCATCCTCCACTGACAGGGGCACTTATTCCTTTGACCAAAAAAATACACACAAAAACAAAAACAAAAAATAATTATGTATGTAAGAAAAATAACATATAACTTACTACTTCAATCAGAAATCAATACAAATTTTTTAAAAGAAAAATCTATAGTGTATAATCTCAAAGAGGAAAATGGGTAGATCTGCCTGAAATGAACTAGGAGCAAAGATAAAGGAACAGACTGAGCCTCTCCTACCAAAAGGAAGCAGGAAATTTGATCTGGTCTTTGGAAAATGATAATCAGTTTTTGAGTGTTGCCCTATGTGTGAATCATAGCTATGTATACACAGTATAAAAATATATAGTATGAAAATAATGGTGCATACTATTTAACATATTAAGAAAATAAATGATATATATTGTAGAACTCATGCTAACTCCAAGCTATTATATGATGCATCTTCCAAATAACGTAGTATTCTCACTTAAAGGACCAAACAGTAATATCAAATTGACCCTACCTTCCATTCAGTGCGTTTTGTCTTACTTTTATTCTTGTAATATTAATAATAAGATATAGCTATGATATACACAAAGGTCAACATTCAAAAGCTAAATATCATTTTCCAAAGACCAAATCAAACTGATAAGAAGAGTAACTTCCACAGATAAATTCATTCTCATCCACTTATTGACAAGCACATTCCCTAAGATCTATTCTCCAAACCATTCAATGGAAAGTTTTGTTATTTTTCAAAATTCCAAATTATTTCAGCAATTAGTACAAAGTCATTATGAATTTCCAAAATGTGCATTTTTAAAGAAATATTGCTTTTTATTCTAAAATTTTTTTAAACACTAAGAAAAAAGTAATTATCTTCCTGTTTAAAAATGTAGTTATATCAGTCATAGAAATATGAATGACTAAACACCCCAATGATAAACACTAGCATATTTACTAAAATATTTAAAACATTAAAAAAAGCTACTCCCTTTTCTAAATTCAAAAAGGGCAAAAGTCTATCAGGTTGGTAGGGTGAGTACAAGTAACTAAAAATTCCAAAAAATATCAAGCTCTAAATGAAAGTCTACCCTTTAATATTACTTATGAGATATTCAGGAAACTTCAGTTTTGGAGGCAAAGTTTTATATCCATATTAAAAAGAGACAACTAAACTTAAAAGATGCAAATGAACAAGAAAGATTAGGTCTGATTAATTGAATTTATTAAGTAATCTTGATGCATGACAAGTCACATCTTCATCTTGGAAAATGTTTTACAGAAATTCAAAGGTTATCTAAGATCCATTTAATTTACTCTACTCTGCAGACTTGTTATCTTTGATGGTAAGTAAAACACAAGTGAATCAAGTCAATAAACATTTACAGCATTTCACTAATCTGTGCACACTGGATAACCTATGTTAAAAAATGAATGACAGCACAACCCAAGTTCCAGGTTTCCTAAAACAAGCATCCGTATGTTTTCTTTTCCTCTAAACTTCAGAAATTTAAATGCCAGGTAGAACGGAAAAATAATAGAATCATGACATACATACTAAGACCAAATATGTGAAAACGAGGGACTAAAATTTCGGTCCAACCTTTTCAAGGTGAAATTAAAAACAGCAACTAGAAAGTTGTGCTCAGGGATAACATTATCTTTCACGCGGTCCACACCACAAAATCCAAAAATCTTTACCTCACACACCAAAACGCTAAATTGTCCCTTACAGTCAAAGAGCAACTGAGGTTCCCTAAAAGATCAAGTCTAATGAATCTGACAAACAGAGATATAGCTATCAAGAAATTTGATGCAACCCATCATCTGGGGCCAGTTTCCACGGTATTCTCTCCAGCATATTCTGCTCCGCACCCCCTGCCCTGAGTGATCGAAAGGAAGTTTCTTCGACTTGCTAAACTTCGTTCTCCTCTTCTGTAAAATACAAATAAAACTCCATATTCGGGAGTTGTTTTGAAGACAAGAAAGCCTTAAAAAGCACATTATGCGCTACCAAGCACGAAATGTCACTAAATATTGTAGTTCTTCCTGTCCCTGTTCATTACTTCACTCTGATCTTGGTTCCCAACCGTGCCTGCAAAGCCCAGTTACTGGTTCCAGGAAGGCTGTACCGGTGCCGAGTGGAGAGCCGGCGTTAAGGGGCAACGCTTGCAAGTCCCTCCCCAAGGCTCGCAGGTCCCGCACCTAGTGCCCGGGTCGAGGAGGAACCCGCCACTGGATTTTCCTTCAGGAAAAAAGCAAAGACCCACTGAGAGACAAAATAAACATTTGAGTACTGGCCGGGGACAAATTACTTCCTCTGAACGCTGTCAGCGAGGAAGGCTCCCCTCTACATCCCTTCGTCTGTTTTGGCCTGGGACGCGAAGCCTGGGGGAGTCCGGGGACCCGTTCCTGCTCCCTTACCTGTTTCTCCGAATGGAATGGTCTCAGCCCAGGCGCTAGGCTCCTCTTCCTGGATGTCCAGAACCCTGTCAATGGACTTCTGGGCCTGGGAGAGGGCCTGCTTAGCAAAGCTGGAGAGCTGGGAGGCGTTGAACCAACTCATCTCCCCTCCTTTGCCGGCAGTGGCGGGAGCACTAAGCGGAAGGCCGAGGGCCGGGTCGACTGGCCTCAGGCCCAGGGATGGTGCAACGGGACGACCTCGCCTCCTTCTCCACTCGGAGGGCACTGTCAACGGGTGACCATGACCCCGACAGTCTCCGCCGAGCTCGGGATGGTTCTCTCAGCCCTCCTCCTCAGACCTAGAGCTCGGTCGGATTACGCATGCGTTGGCTACTTCCACGTACACAACTACCAAATCTGAGTCGAGTTCCGTTCACAGACGGAACAGGCCGAAGAACGTTGACGTCATATCCGGGAGCTCAGGTTGCCAGTGGTTACCAGGAAACGCTGAACGATTTCCACTTACACTGATTCCAGTAGTGCGGGAACTCTCGACACCCGAGGAACTCTGCCGATTCCTCCTAGAAGATTACGCGAGTTTTCGTGTAGGTTCCTTTTTTCAAAAATGTTCGCGTACAAAAACTAGCGCCTTGCTAAAAATTGCAAATAGGTCCACTATTTGACGGCTTGGTCTCAATCGTGGTAACAGGCATTGATGAATCCTGGTTAGTGTATACAGGCCTGATCAGCCCACTCGATGGATGTAAAGCTTCCCCGAGTTGTCAGCACAACAGAAACGATTTCTTACGCCCCCAACCCCCTCCCAGCCCACCCTTGCCCAAAGCAGGTTCTGCATCCCAATCAAAACCAACCAGAGCACTAAAGCTATTACTGTTAATAGGTATTGTGTATATTATTTAAAATGTGACTTTTTTTTCTGTATGCACTCTTCAGACATTGGCTGTAAGAAGCCGATTTGGTGGCTTTTCTATTGTAGTCTGCAGCAAAGATTGATTTCACCTCCACGTTAAAAATTCTATCGAAGATTTAATATAGATACCCAGATTGCCATCTTATTTTAACAAATATGGATATCAGGATGAAAAAGTCAGATGCAGTGGGTTGCCCATTTTGATAATTTTCACTCCAGTTTGCCAAAGGCCTCACTAGTCTTATTATATACTTATTAACCCTCTCTGTTGCAATTATTTGCCTTACTTGCTTCCTCCCCTTTGAGTATTTTGTCCACTGCAAAAAATACACTAAACGAATTTTTTCTTTGAAAATAATCTGTCTTTGGTAAGTTATGATCTTCAATTTGTATTAGTCAGTAAAAATTTACATGTTAAAACTCTTCGAATTTAATAATCTATACTAGTACCTACTAACTCAGTCTCTTAGCTTAGCTAAGTAGTCTAAAGTTTGAGGTAGTTTAGGGTTGGAATTCCTTTTCTAAGACTTCTATGTGCAGTTTTGGGTATATGACCTAAACTTTCTAAAGCTATTATTAAGTTCTTCAAGATGTCGCCTACTCCCAAGGCTATTTAAAAGTACTGTAATTACCTAAGTAAAGGAGAGGTTAAGTGTCCATAGTTTAAACAGATGTCCATATTTTTAAACAGAATCTGTAACTTTTAAGTAAAGCATATACATTTATGCCATGATTTTATGAGACAATGTGTCAACATAAAGTTTGTAAACAATAAATGACCATATAATCCAATAATCAAAAAGCTTTTAAGTAGAAAACTGCAAGGTTAGTGAAAAACAGAGTGAGAACATTTACACATATTCCCACACTAAGATACTACGACACATTTTTCAGTACTTATGCTTTTGAATTAAGTATGCCTTAGTTTTTAGGGGGGAAAAGACATTAAAGTGGTTAAATATAGTGAAATCCATTTCATTATAAGTTAAATCAATACTGTGGCAAAATATTCAGGTTCATTAAAAATGTTGTAATTGGCCCTCCCTGGTGGCGCAGCGGGTTAAAGCACAGCACTGAGAATCTGAAGCCACTTCCGTATGAGTTCGATTCCCGCCTGCCGCCTGCC